ACGCAGCGCTGCCCGGGGGCCGGCCGGGCCCCGCCGTGTCAGGCTCCTCGGGAGGTGGCCCCGGGGGAGGCTGCGGAGGGGCACGGAGGATGTCTGGGAACGCTTCCAAAGGGGGGTGAAACTCCCTCCTGGCGCAGGTTGAAGAAGAGCAGTGGTGACAAGCGTCCCCATCAAGGGGAGTGCTGATAGCAAGAGTGAGTGGCAGTGTGTTTGTGTGTGTTATAAAGGCATCGCACAGTGCTTGGCAATTTGAGGATCTTCCATGTATTTTTGACCATGGAATTGATTAAAAACGTTTTATACCTGCCCTACCATTATTTTGACCTGGAAAGCAAAAGAACATACTTAAGTTGCCTAGCAGGGCAGGGGCCGCCTGTTGCACCATGCCCTATTGGACTCCATCCCCGCTGCTGGAGAGCGGGCTTTCCTGGAGCCAGAGTCAATCCACGGGAACCAGGAGCCATAGGAAGCAGCTGAAGAAATAATGCACCAGAAGGACGCAAGCGGTTTGTCTGCCCCTTCCAGCAGAGCCATTCATCAAGGGAGGGCAGGAGCCTCCAGAAGGATGAGCTTCCAGATGCAGGCCTTGCCTGCAGAAGGTGAGTGACCTCAAGCTTTTCTGAACAGTTGTTTAGGACTTCACAGTCGTTAGGAAGCAGGATTTGCTGCTCGTTTTGTGCTCAGTCAAGCATTTGGAAAATTCTTTTGTCCTAAACTGATAATAGCTACATGTCACAGGAGTGCTATGGCTAAAAAAGGAAAAAAAATGCCCAGTGCTAGAAAACCTACTCCAACCCCTATTCCTTTCCTTTTTATTTTACAGGTGCGTTACAGATGAAGTGCTGACAGTCTGTCAGGAAACAAGTGAAAAGTTTTCTGTAATGCTTTCTCCCGGGGTTGGAGAAGAAGTCACTGTGTCTGAAGGTATCTGGAACCAGCTAAACTAACATCAAGGGAATATTGGCAAAATGGAATATTGGTACCAGGATGTGTTTGTAATATAAAATGTGAACAGTTACTGTAAGATATTGTCTCTTACCATTATTCTGAGCCTAAATTCAGCAGCATTTGGTTATTGAACTGGAAGCTTGCAGGAACTTTTATAGAAGTGCTTAAATTCTGTTGTTCAAAGTAATGAAAGAACATTAGTTTCCTCAAAAATCTACTGTATTTAGGCTCATAGCTATTCGGGGAGATCTTAAAGGATCTTATACCTTTCCTTGTACTCCCCCTGCAATGCATACAAATACTGCTGAGTTCAACAGTTCTGGTTACCATACATGAGACTCTGTGGGTGGGTGAACATTGGCATGTGATGGTAAGCGACCTTAAGTTGATCAGAAAAGGGCAAGTCTCAGATTGAAATGAATTATATAGTCCTGACCAGATTTTTTTAAATCCCATTGTCCTTGTCCAGATCAGGATACGTACTTAAGATTACATGAATTAGTATGTGATCTGTGAACATGTTTTCCAAAATATAAACAGGCATAGTTCTACTAGTATGTCTTTTTTTCTAGTATGGATAAGGTTTGTGGGAGTACTCCTTGCATAAGATATGAAGAGCAGGCTTGTTTGAATCCTCAAGATAAAAAAGGACTTCAAATCTTCCTGTTTTGCAGAGAAACAATACTAAATACTAAAAGGAATAAGAAGCATAACAGGGATGTACTTCTCTATTTTATGACTCATAAAGCTATCTTACTCTTAGGAATCCCTATTTTTTTTTTAATAATGTACATAGGGATTTTTTTTTTTTCCCCTTTACATAAATAAACTCTGCTTTCCCAAAGCAATGCACGGAAACTTCAAGATTAGTAAAGCTCACATTTTGGCTATGGACTTATTTTTCTAGAGTCTTAAATTAGTGACTCCTGTCAAAAATTAAGTGAGAACTTTATAGGTGGCGTAAGAAACAGCTATTCAGGGCAAATCACAGTACATGGCATGAGGCACCAAAAAGATGGAAACTGATGGAATGATTGAAAGCATGGTTATCGGATGGATGTTTTAGGAGAGAAGTGAGCCTTTGTTTGTTTTTTTTTTTTTTAGGTCAACAGTGATGGAAGACATTCATCCCTACCTTTAAATGTGGCTTAAATCAGGAAGAAATACAGTTTCTTTTCTTTGTACTTCATTTTTATGGCGTACCCCCGTGTAGTGTGTTTCTGTGAGGCTTAGAGTGTGTGTCTTGACAGAATGGAATGATGGGCATTTTATTACAGTTCTGGAGGCCTAATTCTATATCGCATAAAGTAGGTCTCTAGTCTTCATCAGAGTCTGGAATGGGTAGGAGTCTAGGACTGAGTCTTTTCCTGTAAATTACAAGCTTATCTTTCCGTCTTCCAAAAATACATGGATTTAGACTATTGGATCACATAAGTATCCAGAGAAATGCCTCCACTGCTACTGCTCTTGCATTCTTAAATAACAGTGATTAAAATATATGGGTTTTATCTCAGTTACTTTATATATACGTAGCTTTTGGGTGGTTTCTGCTATGATGAAGTATCTTAGACTAATAAAAACAACCACCTTCTTCAATTTTAATAGTCATATCACATATGAAATTTGGGAGAATTATTAGTATGTAAGCTGGCAAAGAACTGTTCTATATTATCTAGTATTCAGACCTGACTAATACGTTTTCCTGTTTGCAACGGACTACTTGTAGTTTTATGGGTTGGATAGCTGATGATACATTAACTAACAGGGAAGAACAAAATCCACTGCAGAGTTGATATTATAAGTCCTAATTTTGGTACCCAGTACTTCTCATTTTGATACCGCACCTAACTTTCCTAATGTTGGTCTTGGTTATAGAATTATAGCTTATAGAAAACTGTATCTATCTACCCCATAAACCAAAATGAAATTGCTGCTTTTTAATTAACAGCATCATGTACTTCAAAGTGTGTGGTTTTTACCTCTGTGCTGATCCAGCTGAGGTATGAACTGCTAAAGCCCCTAGCTACAGTATATCAGCTCTTCAGTTCACACAGCAGCAACTTGCTCCCTTCCCTCAGAAGCCCCCCTCTCATGGTGTAGACAAGGATCATGACAATCTTTTAGGCTGCCACTATGTAAAAATCCCATGGCTGGGCTACAATGGATTTCTGTGTTTCCATAGCGAGGGAAAACACAGCAAGATTTTTTTTCCCCATCTTATGTGTAAAATGTTAGTCTGACATATGACTGTAATTAGTAAGTACCCGGTAGTGAGGGAAATACAGATCTCCAAGTGATAAAGGGTTCATTAACTAGATGTGTCTAATTACTGTCTTTGTATGCACAGCCTGCCAAGGAATTCAGTCAAGTACAGTACATTAGAAATGACAGGTATTAAAACTTACTGTGGTGTCTTGCCCTTTTAGCGGCTGGAAAAATGTTGCACGGTGCATGGCACAAGCAGAACTGTGAGAGCAGAGATTACCAGTGATGCTCATTGCAGTGATTCCTCCAAGGATATCCAGCCTTCCAGCTGCTGTCTTATTCTGATGGTCTTGCTAGTTGTCATTTGGTGGATATCACTTGATTAGTGCTCAGTAATTAGCTAACACATTTGTAGAACTTTCGTGAAAGGATTAGGGCACTCAAACAGCAAAGCAAATCAATTTCTTTTAGCATAACGCCAATAATATAGCACTTTTAACAATGAAAATATGGAGCTTCCAGGTATAAGCATGGTGATTCTGCTTGTTTTTTCAGACTTTTGTTTTTAAGGCAAATGTATAAGACTAAACATGGAGAAGATGTGAGTAAGTAAGACTGTAAGTCCTAAAATAAACTTCTTTATTTCTTAGGATACTTGAGAATCAGATTAAATCACTTTACAGTGTCTTGCTAGGTAGACAGCTTTTATTATCTTGAGAAGGGAAAATGAGGAAGTATTTACTGCTTTCTTTTTTCTGACTCTGGACTATATAGACATATCTAAGTCACATCTTTGTGCTGACAAATAGCAGCAAAGATTTTTTTTTTCAGGAGGATGTGATTAAGTAGTTTAACATAATTTCAGTATAGCATTAAGGAGGATTACACATACTTAAGAGTAAAACCACATGCATCGTCTATGAACATATGTGTTTGATTTATGCAGCCAGAATGAACAGACGCGCTTCCCTGTGCACCTCTGTCTGTAACTGTTCTGCTTGTCAGTTCTAAAGTCAGTGAGATTAGCAGGAGGTATGATCTGTTCCATCTGCTGATGAGAAACGGTGTGTGCTCCAAATACTTTCAAATACAAGCAATGTTGGGGTCAGTAAACACCCTGGGGTAAGAGTGGAAAGAGTCGGTAGGGAAGCAGGTGAGAGACGTCACTGATCCCCGAAACATACTCTCCTTGGGATATAATCTTGTGGTGTATGCACCAATATATTGGCCAGTCTCTGTCAGCTCTCATCTTAGTATTGTAAAAAAGTAATACTCCGAGTGCATATAGAAGAGGTTCTTGCACGTTCTAGTGCTCAGCAAGATGTGATTTTAGGAAGTTCAGAATGAATATCCAGTCGTGATACTTATGATGCTGAATTGATGTTGATCTAAGCCAAAGCCCTAATTTGCTGTGCTATCAGACCAGCTGAATGTGCTGTCCTGTGTAGTAGAAGGATGGTAATAAGTATCCAAGATAATGACCTCTGAGTTTTCAAAAGAAAAAGCATCAATTTGCCAAGCAAAATTGTATAGTGCTGTACATCTATGTCTGCATACCTACATCACACACATGCAAGCACAGTGAAAGCTTAATGATGATAATCTGAGCAGCAACTTTTAAGAAGAAAAAGGCAGAGTTCTACATGAAGAATGCATGTGTCTCAGCTGAATAAATAACTTCTGTCTCACTGGGTGAATCTGACAGTCCTTTGCACAATGATAATGATGTAAACTTCATTGTAATGAATTGATACGAATGTTCTGGATGTTACTATAGTACTGGAGCAAGGGGATGGGTATTCCTTTTTTTACGCTGGCCTCAGTAGGATTTACTGCAGAGGCTAAGGGAAATGCAGCTGTCAGCCTGTTTCATGAATGCCACTGGAGAGAAGATTCAGAGTTTCCCAGCTGAGTTCCCAATCAGAGTTTCCAGTGGTTCATAAATGTCTTATGGCTGGAGATTACAGTGGGGATGTCAGAGTCATTTAATTTCTCCTTTGGAGAGTGCCACCTACTCCTGCATTCCACCAGCCCTCGAAGGTCTTCCCCTTGCCCTTCTGTCTCTGCAGTGAACTGACAGATGTGAATTGCTTTTCCTCCTGTAATATTCCTTGGATATTATTTTAATGTTGTTTTAGTGTTGCTTGCTCATATTTTTTTTTTACCTTTTTCTGCCACTTCTTTCCCATAAATAATTTAAAAGTGTGTTCTTCCTTGTCATAACTGTACATTTGTAAGCTCCAAAGATGTCTTTACTGACGTACTGGAGCATAAGATGAGACACTGTATCTAATTTCAGTTTCCAAGCTAAAGCAATGTTTGAATTTGTAGAGAGATTTAAAAAAAAAAAAAAAAACCAAAAAAAACCACAAACAAAAAAAAACCCAACAAACCCTTAAGATTTTCAGGTCACAGGTTCTTCTTTTTTCTTTAGCTTCCACTGCTATCACGTGCTTTACAAGAGGACTTGACCTTCGAAAGGAGACAGAAGATGTCCTTTGCCCAGCAAACTGTCCTCTATGGCAATTTTATGTCTTTGGGGATGGAGTTTATGCCTCTCTTTCCAGCATCTGCGGAGCTGCCATACACAGGTAAGTCAGATGATTTCTAATCAATGTGTTAGGCAAGTTTATATAGTCTCGCCACACTTTTAAATCTTAATCTTTTGATGCTATCATAATAAATATCTTTCTGGACGTCAGGAGTCATATTAACT